TAGTTTTCCAAAATAGGGTCCCTTTTGGGGGTCCTTTTTATAGTTGTGCGGTACTAATTATATTGGGGGGGGCCTAAACAGGGACCTTAGTTTAGAGAACTAGCCACATAACCGCGTGAAATTCAAACCATCCAGTTCCTGTAGCCAATTTTCCCTTGCTTGCAGGACATGATGTTCAATCTGAGGGCTTCGCGTTCCACGGTCTTCAAGTGTTTGGATATCCCCAAACCCTAAACCCTACACCCTACCCTAAACCCCTAAGTAAATCCCAAACCCTAAAACCCTAAATAAACCCTCAACCCTAAAGCCTGCCCCCCCAAACCCCTGTAAGCCCTAAACCCCTGAAAAACGGCCCCGGGCCTGATGTGCCAGGAGCTTCACTGCAATTCGGTCGGCTGCTGACACCCCTCGGCTTTCGCCACGCTTACATACCAAGGGCTCCACGTTGGACCCAAAACTCAACAAACAAAAAAAATGTATATGCTGGACCCAAAACTGCAAAAAAAAATACCCTAAACCCTAAGCCCCTAAACCCAGAATTTAAAGAACCAATGCAGGTTTCCTAAACCCTAAACCCTAAACCCTAAGACCCAAACCCTAAACCCTACGTTGCAGGAGTTCGTGCTGGAGGGCTTGGCATGGAATCTTGAGCTTGCGACCTATCAACCTGGGCTCTGATCGGCGTCAGCTTAAAGCAGAGCCGCAACAAAATCATACACACACACACACAACAAAATCCCCATGATGTTGATATTCAAAATGACGGTTCCAGGTTGAGGGTTTAGAGCTAAATGATAGTACCGAAAAAAATGAAAACTACTCATAATAATATTCGTAATAGTACCCCTGAATCATCGCCCACCCGAAGCCCGACATTGGCCGTACACCTCCTCCCAAATACACCATCAGTGCTTCTAGTCTTTAACTGATTGATACTCGCTACTTTTACTAGGATGTCGCCCTGTGATGAGAATTTGCTAGGCTGGGGTGTCCATGGATTGGTTCATGCTGCTCCTTCACTCACACCCTTCCTGGCTCACTGTGTGGCGAAAGTTGGTCGCGAATTGTCTTCCAACATATACATATATAACGGTATAAATATGAATATATATATATATGTGTACATGTATGTATCTGTACATGTATATGTACATGTCTATGTCTATGTCTATGTCTATGTCCATGTCTATGTCCATGTCCATGTCCATGTCCATGTCCATGTCTATGTATGTGTGTGTATGTATGTATGTATGTATGTATGTATGTATATATATATATATATGTATGTATATATATATATATATATTGATTGCGTGCGTGCATGTGTGTGGGTGGGTGTATCTGTATATACTTTGCAAATGGTTTGTATACACTATATTCACTCTATGTATATTGAAGACGGTCACATTCGCCCAGAGCACCACGTGCACATTGTCGAAAACCGAACAACCTACAACATGGGTTGAATCTGAAGAAACCAACAAACACTTTCACGAAACGTCGTAATTTACAAAGCACTAAACCTCAATCCGAAACCCTAGCCTCGGCTCCGAAAGCAGCCCCCAAGCCCTAGCCCCAATCCCTGTTACCCTAGAAAACCTTGTAGAACTTATAGTAACCCTTTGCATAATATCCTATAAAACCCCTATAGAATCTTCCGAACTAGTATGCGGTGCTTGTATCTCTCACTCTCTCTCTCTCTCTCTCTCGCTCGTCCTCGCTTCATCGAGCTGTCGAGTACAAAAAAAAACAACAATTCCCGACTTTTGCGGGTGCCGGGATGGCTTACGGTTTTCGGTTTAGGGTTCAATGGATGAGGGATGTAAGGGTTCGCCACTGTGATACTCCGAGAGATGTCATCTAAACTCATGTCAAAAAATCAAACGAACTTCCCACCCGAACATCAACTATTAACCACCCACGTAACCCGTAAACCCCAAACGACCGAATAGCCAAGGAATAAAATTAAAACCTATCATGTAAACTTGTGGAAATATGATAACTTTTCTCGATCACAACGCTGTTCTGGGGTGTGACGCAAGCCCGAGATTTCACTGGGGTTCCCGACCCCGCCGCCGACCCTGCCGGTGCCTTAGCCGCACGGACCAGGCCTGAGATCGGTGGCTTTTGGCGGGGCATCCGCGCACCTATCTACCTACCTAATTATATAGCTCCTTAGTCGTTCCTTTTTGGGATTACCTTATAGGATCCTAAATACCAACCCCAAAAAGGAGCTACTAAGGAGCCTTTGGGTATAGTCTCCATGGTAGTCCTTTTTTGGGCATTTCCTTTCAGGATCCTTGATATGAAAACGGTTGAGCCAAACAAGTTTGAAAAAGGAACTCCAATGGTGACTATAGGCGACTTCTACTTAAGCCTTCAAATGCAGTCTTTTCCTGTCTCGTTAGTTTAGTGGCAAAGTAACATACTGTAATTGGGCACCTGGAGCCTCCCCGCAAGGGATAGTGTGTGAAAGCCTAAACTCTAAACCCCTATAAGAGCCTATAAGGGTCAGCAACAAGGGGGGGGCCAAATAAAAGCCCACTAACTCTGCAATCCTTCTTCTGAAAACACCCAAGTAAAGGCATACTTTAGGGCTTAGGATAGACTTCTGATCCGATTGCCCGTCGCTCCCATCCACTGGGTGCGTCCATCCTGCACTGTATCCCCCAAGTTTCTCAGTCCCCCAAATCCTAAATGAAAAACGCCTAGCGCCTACATCCTCAACTCCAGATCTCTCTAGACTCTCCAATAAAGGGGCCATAGACTGAGGCCAGGGCCTGGGGGTATTATGATTTTGCTTTTTCCCTGGACAACTTGGTTGTTAAGGGGTCTAGGGTTTAGAGTTTAATGTAATTAACCCGAAACCTTAAACCCTAAACCCTAAACCCTTAAAAAACCTTTAACCTCCATGGGCGCCGGCCGCAAGCACCAACCGGCGCAGGCCGTCCTCAGACGTGGCGACCTCAATGGTACAGGCTATGGAGCTTGGCTTGTAGGGCTTATAGGGTTTAGGGCCAAAGTTTAGGGTTTAGGTTCAGGTTTGAGGTGTTGGGGTATTCGGGAGGTTCAGGGATTTAGTATTTCATGTTTCACGGTTTCGGGGTTACTCTACTGGTTACAACAAAGGCTGTTGAGGTCTTTGGGCTGGATGGTTCCGGGTTTCAGATGCAGTGCAGTTGGAGCTTTTGGCAAGTGAAGACAGGTCCAGCGATGCTGACGCGGAATGGCAGCACACAACGCCTTGCACAGATCAACACACAAGGCTTGCAGGATTCAAGAATCGGCACAATTTCGGCCACTCGTTGCCCACCATCTCTCCACGCACACTGCTGTGCGTCTCAATCAACCATGCGCCAAGCTCTCGATGATCTTGGCTTGCCGCGCAAATGCACGCGATGGCCGCTCGGCCACCGTCAGTGACAACATCTGTGCCAGCCTGAGCCTGCAAAAGCAGCGCCACCATTTCTTCATGCCCATTGATAGCCGCAGAGACGAGGCCTTGAAGCCCAGCGTGGCCTGCGTGCATCGACACGCCATTTTCCAGCAAGACACGCGCCAACGCTACGTTGCCTCGATCCGCCGCACTCAAAAGCGCTAAGGTGTCTTCAGTGTACTGGCGGGTTACACCCACTCCGACCTTCAAGAGCATCCGGACTGTTTCCACATGACCAGTCGCTGCAGCGCAGATGACAGCGACACATCTTCCGTCGTCTGGCACGTCCGTTCCTGCTCTCGCATCCAGTAAGAACTGTAGGGTCTGAGTTTGCCCCATGATAGATGCGGCAGCAATTGCGGCTGTCTTCATCGGAGCACAATCGGGCGCATCGCAAACCTCAAGAAGCAGCCCTGCGATATCCGAGCGGCCCCGCATGGATGCGCACATAGCAGCTGTAAGGCCAGCATCACTTTCCAGTTCAGGGGCAGCCCTGGCTTGGAGCAGCAATTGCACAACTTCCACATGGCCTGCGCCAGATGTCCAACTCAATGCAGTCATGCCGAGGTTGTCGGGAACATTCACGTCAGCTTTGGCCTCCACCAGCACTCGGGCAGTTTCCAAATGGTTTCGGAAGCATGCGCAAACAAGAGCTGTCCTGCCACGTCGCTGTTTCTGATTGACCTGTGCTTCAGCCGCGATGAGCAGACGTACGATGTCGACATGCCCCTGCTCAGCTGCACGGATCAGAGCTGTCGCACACTCGGCCCCTTCATATTCATCCACACAGGCCCCAAGCTCCAAGAGCACGCGAGAAGTTTCCAAGTGACCGTGCTCACAGGCCTTTATGAGAGCCGTGGCGGATTCTTGATAGTGATCAGGATGTCCGTGGCCTCCAAGCTCATTTATATCCGCCCCGGCCTCAGCGAGTAGCCGAACAATTTCAGTATGGCCGAGACTGGCAGCAAAGACAATGGGCAACATCAAGGGGTTCTCGCCTTCTTCACTGGCGGTGAGATCTGGATCCTGGGGCCGCTGCAAGATCTCCTCTACCTGGGCCACAGCATCTTCGAAGATGAGCTCGATGAGCTCATCGCGCTGCTCTCCCGAAGCACTGATGAAGGGAAGCGAGATCAGGTGCACATCCATGGGCGATACAAGCCTGGTGTCATCATCCAGAATGGTCTCAGCATTCATTAGCCGCTGTCTGAAACGCGGCACCCCACACTTCCTCCGCAAATCCTGCTTCAAGGACTTTACATCTGCCAGCCCATCCACGGGGAACTCTGCCAACATCTTTCCGGAAGTCCACCACACCCTGAGCATGTCGGAAAGCTCACCACGCTGGTCTGTCAGGAAACGATACGATACGATACTACACTATACTACACTACAGTATACTATACTATACTAGACTAGACTAGACTAGACTAGACTATACTGCAGTGTACTATACTATACTATACTATACTATACTATACTATACTATGCTGTACTATACTATACTATACTATACTATACTATACTCTGCTATACTATCACATACTATACTATACGATGCTACACTATACTATACTATTACTTTATAATTAACGATACTCCACTAAACTTTTATGGCCCTTGAGAGGAAGAAGCTCGCGCAGAACAAAGCATGAGGCCGCCACCCTGGCGCCAGGCCTAGAAGTTAAGATATTGTAACTAGTAGTTTAATATGATACTACATATTACAGCTTTTGATATATAATAAGAAGCTAAGATATTATAACTACAGATATAATACAGCATACTATAGTTTTTTTTAATATAAGATCATACAAGATCACATAGAACGGCTGAGAGCCTTCAACTCCGCTGGACCCCACCAGATCCCCAACCTCAGCCCTGACATCCAAGCTACTCCGACCCTCGCTCCGGGTTTAGGGCAAAGATAGGGTTTAGGGTTTAGGGTGTTAGGGTGTTAGGGATTTGGGTTTAGGGTTGGTTTAGGGTTTAGGGTTTTGGGTTTCGGGTTTAGGGTGTTGCGTTTAGAGTTGGTTTAGGGTTTAGGGGTTTTGGATTTAGAGTTTAGGGTTTCGGGGGTTAGGCTTTGGGGTAAACCCCTGCCGCTTGGCATCATAGCAGCTGAAACGCTCTGAAAGCCGACATGCCTGCCACCCACACCCACTCCAAAACCTTTTGAAGCCAATCTATATACACACTTTCAGTACCGTTGCCAAGCCCCTCCTAACATACATGTTATCTCAACTTAGGAGCCCGCGAAAACTCCAAAAGCATGTTACAAAGGGACAGGCTTCAATACTCTATGTCTACGTGCTTGTTGGATCCCCTTCCATAGCCCTAAACCTTAGACACCAAACCCTGGCCCACAAACCCTAACCCCTAAACCCTAAACCCTAAACCCTAAGCCCTAAACCGAAACCCTATACCCTAAACCCTAAAACTCTAAACCCTGAACTCTGGAGTACTTGACAGCGGCCCAGACCTCCTTCAGAAGCACGCCCCGAACGTTGCGCTGGTGCCGGACGCGCCGGCGCCAGGCGCAGAACGCCAGGCCGTGGCCTCATAAGTCTATATTCGGTTTAGGGGTTAGGGTTTAGGGTTTAGGTCTACATTAGTTTGCAAATATGTTCTTAAACAAGTTTCTAGAATCTTAGGGGTTTCGGGGATGATAATACTGTATGGGTAGAGACTTATGCTGCCGCCTAACGGTAGTAGTCTGCTGCATGGAAAAGCGTTGATTGCACACTGTTTGGTCTGCTACGCCGTGCTCATACAAGCTCTTCCACAGTTTCCACGGACACCGCTTTCTTTCCACAGTCTCGCCCGCTGTGGCATTGTCCGCCGGAAGACTTATTTCACGGTAAATCCCCAAGTTTTGGTCCAAACTTGATAAATCTCGCTCGCACCAATCCTGTGGCCCTCCAACAGCTCGCGGTCACTAACGTCCAGCAAGGACACACTGTTCGGCTCCTCCGCTGTCTTTGGAATGCGACGTGTAAAGTTTTTTTGTGAATTTGAAGCGTTCACGTGCTACTGCCACATTGCTGCGGGCATTTTGTCGATCGCGCTCCCGCTGCCAGAGTGCCGTGCGTCTTTCTGACGCCACCCCGTGTTTCTGTTTCCGTTACATAACCATATGCAGTATTCAAACCCTAAACCCTAATCCCCTAAACCTTAAACCCCAAACCCCTAAACCCTAAACCCCTAAACCCTAAACCCTAAACCCTAAACCCCTAAACCCCTAAACCCCTAAACCCCAAACATGTACTGGTCGAAGAGCGGCAAAGGTGCTTGGGTTCAAGTTTCATCTTTGCAGGTTTAGGGTTTAGGGTTTGGTTAGGTTCGAAACCCGACCCCCCCCCCATGCCAAACACAAAAAAAAGACACAAAGCCGCGTAGAAATCCTCAGAAGCAAACCCGGCAAGAAGACTCCGAGAGCTCCCTAAGCAGAAAGGTCCTGAATAGGTCAGCCCTAGATTGAATCCTCAACCCTGAAAGCCCTAAAGCAATATATACCTTACGCCCTATGAACCCTGAGCCCCAAAGCCCCAAAGCCTAGAAGTGGCACCCATCCGGGCATCCGACCATGATGCCGCGCAGCAGGTCCCCGAACCTGCACGGCACCAGGCTTTTGATCGGCTTTTCGAAGTTGAGCAATCGTTTGACAAAGGCGCTGAGAGTGTTTTCTACGTGGGGTTTAGAAGGGTCTTATAATAAGGCTTGATAGGATTAACAATAGGGGGCATTAATAGGAAGAATAAGGTTTTGGGGCATGTCTATCTACATACATATCTTTAGCACTAGAAATCTCATCCACGCCGAGACCCCGAGCCGTCAGTCCCAAACCGCACACACGCCAAAAGCCCGGAAACAAAACTCCGAGGCCGTGTAACTTGCAGTCAGTACATATAATGCAGAATACCAGGATTCGCCCGAAGAGCCTATTCAATTTATTGGGGCCCCCTATGATACCCCTTATAGTTGCCCTTGTAGACCCCTGTTCTTAAGCCGCCGCAGATTCAAGGACTTCACATCTTCCAGCCCATCCACCGGGAACTCTGCAAAAATTTCTCCTGAAGCCAACCGTTCAGCCACACCTTCAGCCGTAAACCCACACTTTCAGCCGTAAACCCTAAACCTTAAACCTTAAACCCTAAAGCCTAAACCAGCATGTCGGAAAACCCACCATGCAAGTCTCTCAGCAGCAAACAGCGAAGTGTCGGACCCTGGAGACCAAAACCCATCATATATAAGCATAATTACGCTCTCTATAGATAGAAAGGTAGGTAAATAGATAGGTAGATAGATATGTGGTTGTATACATACATATATATATATACATACATACATACATACATACATACATATATATATATATTAATATTATAGACACACACACACATGGCTGAACCCGGCAAGCTCATAAAACTCGTAGCCCGCCAACCACGGGACTCCCACCCTGCCCCCTCAGCCGGCCCACTCGAAAGTACAAGCCCTGCAAGTAACATAGGGGCCTTTTATAATTTGAATGAGGTTTTGAGGTATATTATGCTATTAAATATAAAGAGAAACCCCCAAAATGGCATTGGTAATTACTTTAGGCCCGTAGTATAAAGTAGCCTGCAGACTGAGCCAGCAAAAGAGCTGATACCCCGGCTTGCCTGTGGCCTTCTTGATTCCACCAGAAAAGAAGAAACAGAACACCGACACGAGGCTGCTACAAACCCTAAACCCTAAACCCGGACCTCTTTGGGCAGCCACATCCGTAAATCTCGCAGCCGCCGAGTTCGCTGCTGCCAGGCGCGGAAGCACACAGAATGACCTCGGAAGGATGCAGCTCAGTTTAGGGTTTAGGGGTTTAGGGGTTTAGGGTTTAGGGTTTAGGGTTTTGGGATGCTGCTCAGCGTTGAAACCCCAATCCCAAAGCAAACCATGAGGCCTGCGGGGCAATACAGTTGCCTGAAGCAGTGAGGCCTGAATCCAGACCACCACACAGCAGGTGCCGGGTCTGTACCCCTCTCTTTCAACTTTCAGGGTTACTCTACGGGATACTATAAGAGTTACCATAATGCTACCGACAAGGGTTACAGTTGCAGAACCGCTCTTAGGGCGTGTCAGGATGCCAGTATGCCAGTCGTGTAAAACCTGGATAGACTATAGGATAATCAAGTACATTATAGCATAGTGAGGCGAATCATAGCATAATAAAGTGTCAGTACATTACAGCATCTTACAGTATATTATGGTGTATTGTAGAACATTCTAGTATACTCACCTAGTAAACCTAGTAAATACATCATATACTGCCCCATACACTCCCAACCCTGAACCCTAAACCCTAATAACCCCGAACCCTAAACTCTTTTTACCCTGAACAATAGGGGGAGATGCTCTGCAGGCTCACAGTCGGAGATGGTTTGGCTTCCGTTGAAATCGTGCCACCATCTGCCGCAAGAGAGGTTGAAGGTTTAGGGCTTGGGATTTAGGGGTTTTGGGTTTAGGGTTCTGGGGTTTAGGGTTCCGGGTTTAGGGCTTACGGTTTGGGGTTTAGTATGTTTTAGTAGATGTATCGTATACTACCCGCACCCTATAAACTCCTATGGTTTAGAGCCTCTGAGTCCTCGAACTCCAGTGCTACGCAGACCTTCCAAACTCCTCTAATTTAGGAATACATATATATTTAAGGGATCCTACTATGATTTTAAGTATAGTTTGGAAGGTCTGGGTAATGTACCCGTAACGATGTGTGCGCCTTTAGCCTCCGAGCCGTCAAGGAGCACACCGACGTTTGGGCTAGGGCTTAGGGTCTAGGGTTTAGGGTTTAGGGTTTAAGATTTAAACCGACGTTTGGCTGAGGGCTCAGGGCTCAGGGTTCGAGCAAGAACCCAAAGCGCTCGTTGTACTCTATGCGTAGTTCTCTAAACTAGGGTCCCTTTCTAGGTGCCCCAATACAGTACGGCACCCTTATAAAAAAGGACTCCCGGAGGGACCCTAATTTAGAGAGCTACCTATATATAGAAGCAGTAGATAAGCCCGACTCAGAAGACCTTGGGGTGCCCCTAATTTAATTGATGATATCCTGTACTCAAACCCTAAGCCGAACTCCACCATTGGGTTTAGGGTTTTACGGTTGAGGGTTTAGGATTTAG